CGGGCCGCGGGGACGCTAAGCCCCGAAATCATCTTAAGATAACTTCAAGATAGCCTAAGATAACCTCAAGAAGGTGACCCAAGAGAGTGTCTCCCGTGACACTGCTCCCAGCCATAACAAAACACCTGCTGCTATACGCAGGTGTTTCTCCTAACACCTGCTAAACTCAGGTGTTTCTCCTAACACCTGCTATACGCAGGTGTTTCTCCTAACACCTGCTACACTCAGGTGTTTCTCCTAACACCTGCTATACGCAGGTGCTTCTCCTAACACCTGCTATACTCAGGTGTTTCTCCTAACACCTGCTATACGCAGGTGTTTCTCCTAACACCTGCTATACTCAGGTGTTTCTCCTAACACCTGCTATACTCAGGTGTTTCTCCCAACACCTGCTATACGCAGCAGGTGTTTCTCCTAACACCTACTATACGCAGGTGTTTCTCCTAACACCTGCTATACGCAGGTGTTTCTCCTAACACCTGCTATACTCAGGTGTTTCTCCTAACACCTGCTATACTCAGGTGTTTCTCCTAACACCTGCTATACGCAGGTGTTTCTCCCAACACCTGCTATACGCAGCAGGTGTTTCTCCTAACACTTGCTATACGCAGCAGGTGTTTCTCCTAACACCTTGCTATATGCAGCAGGTGTTTCTCCTAACACTTGCTATACGCAGGTGTTTCTCCTAACACCTGCTATATGCAGCAGATGTTTCTCCTAACACCTGCTATACGCAGCAGGTGTTTCTCCTAACACCTGCTATACGCAGCAGGTGTTTCTCTAGGAGATTCAAACAACATTTACCCATGATTTAAGTGCACCTCTACACTTGGTATTCAAAATAATACTAACACAAGTTTTATTTCATACACTTGGGCTCGGCTAGAGAGAAAAACAGTCATTATCATTGTTTTCTAAAGCAAAGTATAAAAATATTGAAACCAATTTCTATCCAATAGGCCAACTGATCTCTAAACAAATTGCTTAATTCAGCATCCCCCCCCCCCCTGTACCTCTCACTGAGGGGAGGACACCTAATGCTACTTAAGGTCTACAATTCATATTCAGCCGCAGGGAATAACTCATAATAGCGTGCCTCAGTAACCAGACACACACACACGTGTGCAAGATAATGAAAGTGGTAGCGTTTGGGCTGTCCTGGACCCTTAAGGAAAGATGGGAAGAAACTCCCTCCCCCCCCCTTTCTTCCTGACGTGATAAGTTTAGGGCGCCCCTGCCCCCCCCCCCTGCCCCTTTCTTCCTGAGTTTAGACATGATAACTTCAGAACGAACCAAAACATCTTTCATTTCAATGTGGTATGAGTAGGTTGTGTTCATTAATGTTGTTTTTGAGTTTCTTTCACCCTATGCCCCTGTTACCTAGCAGTAAAATAGGTACCTGGGTGTTAGTCAGCTGTCACGGGCTGCTTCCTGGGGGTGGAGGCCTGGTCGAGGACCGGGCCGCGGGGACACTAAAAAAAGCCCCGAAATCTTCTCAAGATAACCTCAAGATTGTGTTGAGATGAGTTATACAAGTTAGGGAGGGTAAACCCGGAGCCAGGTGACCTTGAGGTCAATCAGCTATGCCCCGCCAAGACTCACCTACGTCTTGACCCCCTGCTTGTGTCTACTCTTGTGACGCGCCCTCACCTCGGTCTGGATGGCCACACCCACAACACCACCACCATCGCTAACGCTCTTCCTCCTCCGGATCTCCGTCAGCAGATCCGTGAACTCGTCTTTGAGGTTCTGGACCCGCGTGGCCAGCTCGTGCTTGCTCCCGGAGGGCCGCAGGCCGCGTCCTGGTCCCCCGGTGCCGTAGTTGTTGGTGAGGAGGGCGTTCTCAGCCCCCACGGTACTGGAGGTCTCGTCCACGTCGCTGGCATCACCCTCCGCCACCTGGCGGGGAGAGGCAGTCTGTGTGTCAACATACAGGAGGCACGCTGCAGGATACAGTAAGAAATACATACATGAACAAATCCACAAGGGCCGTGACGGGGATTCGAACCTGCGTCCGGGAGCATCCCAGACACTGCCTTAATCGACTGAGCTTTCGAATCCTCGTCACGGCCCTTGTGGATTTGTTCATTTGATGCATCACGTTAGTGTGATCTCTGTGTGATATAGATACATAATACATACATAATACATACTACATGTAATGAGGCGCTGTACATGAGGTACAGACTACGCATGACACATAATGAGGCACATTTATTATATATTGTAATATCTTATACCTAAAATTAAAAACATTAGTGTTCACGCTACAAAGATCAGACGACATAACAGTACCCATATAAATGTTTGAAGCAGGAGACGGGGGGGGGGGGGGGGGGGAATTAAAGAGGCTATCCCGGTTGACTCTGTTTATTTCCCCTCAGAATCTTTTATATTGTAATCATGTCTCCTCTGTTTCTTCTGTCCTCTAGGGTTGTAAGGTCCACTTCCTTGTGGCAAACCTCTGCACTTTTCAATTTTAGTTTTATGCCTCACAAGGTGTAGATGCCAGGCCGGAGCTACATATTCCAGTATTGGTCTAACGTACGCTGAACCAAACGTTAGTGTGGTTACTCTCTGTGTAGTGAAGAGGAGCATCAGAGGTAGAACTTTCCTAGACGACAGAGCAAGAGTGCATGGTGGGGGGGGGGGAGTTATCTTGAGGTTATCTTGAGATGATTTCGGGGCTTTAGTGTCCCCGCGGCCCGGTCCTCGACCAGGCCTCCAACCCCAGGAAGCAGCCCGTGACAGCTGAGTAACACCCAGGTACCTATTTTACTGCTAGGTAACAGGGGCATAGGGTGAAAGAAACTCTGCCCATTGTTTCTCGCCGGCGCCCGGGATCGAACCCGGGAGCACAGGATCACAAGTCCAGCGTGCTATCAGCTCGGCCGACCGGCTCCCCAAAGGGAGTCGGCTCCCAAGAACTGTGTGGAACAATGTTCGGGTTAAGTGGAAGTCTCGGGAATCCTCGTGGGGTTCAGTAGAACTTCAGGTTGCAATCCTTTTGACCATGTCGTGGCCTAGAGGTCTGGGGCGTGTGTGCCTGGGAATACTCAGTGCACGACTCTTCCGGATTTTCTCCTTGATACATCTCGTAAGTGTGATTTATTTTTGTGTATTCTCATCTATGTCATTGTTGAAGAAGACAACAAAGTTTGGCCCCAACATGAACCCTTTACGGTACTCCAGTTACCAGATGCAGGCGACGAGTCACAATAACGGGGCTAAAGTATGCTGACCACACCACACCATTCACCACTTTCTTCCAGAAAAATTCATTGCCATTTATGATAACCCTTTGCTTTCTTTTTTTCCCGTCTAATACTGTATCAGTTATTCCATGTGCTTTGAGTTTCCGTGGCAGTCTTCCATGTGGTGCCTTGTCTAGAGCTTTAGAAGTCCATGTATACTATATGATTACCGCAGGCTACTAATTTATTTTGATCACATCTTCTGGACATGATGGACATCTTCAAGACGAAACTAGATTGTTTCCTCCAAAGAGTGCCGGACCAGCCGGGCTGTGGTGGGTATGTGGGCCTGTGGCCCGCTCCAAGCAACAGCCTGGTGGACCAAACTCTCACAAGTCAAGCCTGGCCTCGGGCCGGGCTTGGGGAGTAGAACAACTCCCAGAACCCCATCAACCAGGTATCAACCAACAGCCTGGTGGACCAAACTCTCACAAGTCAAGCCTGGCCTCGGGCCGGGCTTGGGGAGTAGAAGACCTCCCAGAACCCCATCAACCAGGTATCAACCAGATCAAAACTGTGTTAGGTTGAGTGTGCAAGATTGTGCACTTTCTCAATGATTATCTCTCCAAAGGATTTCCTCTATGAGTTTGCAAGTGTGTGTGAGTTGGCGCTGATTGGTCGGTAGTTTTAAGTTGAAATCTTTCTGCCATTTTAAAACACGGAGGTGAAAATTACTCTGATTCCCAATGTAGGGAAGACTTTTCGTTAGTGCAAAGATTTTGTGAATAGGAGTTTCATTGATGGACATGATTCATAGTCCAGTTCCCTTACGATTTTGGATGGAATTCCATCCACATCTGGGGCTTTAGATGCCTTCATGTCTTTCCTAATTGTCGCGCAGGTTTAGGGAATATCCCTTAAAATGATGTGATGGCAGGACAAGAGGACATAGATGGAAGCTGGAAACACAAATGAGTTGAAGAAAAGTAAGGAAATACTGGTACCCTGTACGGGGGTGGTCAGCCAGTGGAATGCACTAGGAGAGGAAGTTGTGGAAGCCGCCTCCATCCACAACTTTAAGGACAGATTAGACAAGGAACGTGACCACCCAGGACCAAGAGGACGGGCTGGGATTACGGACCATGAGGACGGGCTGGGATTACGGACCATGAGGACGGGCTGGGATTACGAACCATGAGGACGGGCTGGGATTACGGACCAAGAGGACGGGCTGGGATTACGGACCAAGAGGACGGGCTGGGATTACGGACCATGAGGACGGGCTGGGATTACGAACCATGAGGACGGGCTGGGATTACGAACCATGAGGACGGGCTGGGATTACGGACCAAGAGGACGGGCTGGGTGGCCAGTACATAAAGTACCAAAGTATCAATGATGTTCACGGGCTCACCATAGCCGGTGCTACATGGACACTTCGTTGTGAGTAGCTAAATCTAAAACCACAAGGATGACGTTACCTGGTGATGGAGGTGGCGCCGCTTGGCAAGGGAGGCCTTCAGCTGGGCCTCGTACTGCTGGGTCACCAGCTGCAGCTCCGCCTGTACCTGGCCCAGCTTGATCTGCAACTGTGTGGTACACGCTTAGCTGCTGCTGCACCTTCACCCACGCTGTGGCTCACACCCAGGCTTTGTACCCATCAGCTATACCCACACACACGCCTTGGCTCACTACCCACACTCACACCTAGGCTCACTATCTACACTCATACCTAGGCTCACTACCCACACTCATACCTAGGCTCACTATTCATACTCATACCTAGGCTCACTACCCACACTCATACCTAGGCTCACTATTCACACTCATACCTAGGCTCACTACACACACTCATACCTAGGCTCACTACACACACTCATACCTAGGCTCACTACCCACACACACACTTAGGCTCACTACCCACACTCACACCTAGGCTCACTATCTACACTCATACCTAGGCTCACTACCCACACTCATACCTAGGCTCACTATTCACACTCATACCTAGGCTCACTACCCACACTCACACCTAGGCTCACTATCTACACTCATACCTAGGCTCACTACCCACACTCATACCTAGGCTCACTATTCACACTCATACCTAGGCTCACTAACCACACTCATACCTAGGCTCACTACCCACACTCATACCTAGGCTCACTATTCACACTCATACCTAGGCTCACTACACACACTCATACCTAGGCTCACTACCCACACTCATACCTAGGCTCACTACCCACACTCATACCTAGGCTCACTATTCATACTCATACCTAGGCTCACTACCCACACTCATACCTAGGCTCACTACCCACACTCATACCTAGGCTCACTATTCACACTCATACCTAGGCTCACTACACACACTCATACCTAGGCTCACTACACACACTCATACCTAGGCTCACTACCCACACACACACTTAGGCTCACTATCCACACTCACACCTAGGCTCACTACCCACACTCATACCTAGGCTCACTACGCACACTCATACCTAGGCTCACTATCCACACTCTTACCTAGGCTCACTACCCACACACCACCTAGGCTCACTATCCACACTCATACCTAGGCTCACTATCCACACTCGTACCTAGGCTCACTACCCACACACCACCTAGGCTCACTATCCACATTCATACCTAGCCTCACTTTCCACACCCACACCTAGGCTCATTATCCACACTCATACCTAGGCTCACTACACACACACTCATACCTAGGCTCACTACACACACACATCTAGGCTCACCACCCACACCCACACCTAGGCTCATCACCCACACCCACACCTAGGCTCACCACCCACACCCACACTTAGGCTCACCACCCACACCCACACCTAGGCTCACCACCCACACCTAGGCTCACCACCCACACCCACACCTAGGCTCACCACCCACAACCACACCTAGACTCACCACCCACACCTAGGCTCACCACCCACACCCACACCTAGGCTAACCACCCACACCCACACCTAGGCTCACCACCCACAACCACACCTAGACTCACCACCCACACCTAGGCTCACCACCCACACCTAGACTCACCACCCACACCTAGGCTCACCACCCACACCTAGGCTCACCACCCACACCCACACCTAGGCTCACCAACCACACCTAGGCTCACCACCCACACCTAGGCTCACCACCCACACCTAGGCTCACCACCCACACCTAGACTCACCACCCACACCTAGGCTCACCACCCACAACCACACCTAGGCTCACCACCCACACCTAGGCTCACCACCCACAACCACACCTAGGCTCACCACCCACACCTAGGCTCACCACCCACAACCACACCTACACCTAGGCTCACCACCCACACCTAGACTCACCACCCACACCTAGGCTCACCACCCACACCTAGACTCACCACCCACACCTAGACTCACCACCCACACCTAGACTCACCACCCACACCTAGACTCACCACCCACACCTAGACTCACCACCCACACCTAGGCTCACCACCCACACCCACACTTACACACAACATTTATACTACTTATATAAACACAATATTGCACAATTATTTGGAACGTTAATGAACAAAGCTAAAAAAATAACCACAAACTATTACTGCTAAACTATCATTTAAGAAAGCTCATGACTCCTCACAAGAGTGGTGCAAGAAGCGTGGCTGTTAGAGAAACATTGTAACTGCCTTAAGAAAGACTTGATATTAAGATGAAACAATCTAGGGAAAGGCGTCAACTATGTAGAAGTTGAGGCAGTTGTGGAGATTGATGGGCCGGACTTGTCAAATGTTTTTGGGTAACTATATTCATCTCATGGGGGAAGGAAGGGAATATTCCTTCAGTCGTCACTGTTTACTTTGTGCAATTTGCTAATCCAATATATGGGAATGTCGGAAGGGAAGCAGGCAGGCGGTAGGTAGGTAGGCAGGCAGGCAGGCAGGCAGGCAGGCAGGCAGGCAGGCAGGCAGGCAGGCAGGCAGGCAGGCAGGCAGGCAGGCAGACAGGCAGACAGGCAGACATGCAGGCAGGCAGGCAGGCAGGCAGGCAGGCAGTAGGCAGGCAGTAGGCAGGCAGGTAGACAGACAGACAGACAGGCAGGCAGGCAGGCAGGCAGGCAGGCAGGCAGGCAGGCAGACAGGCAGGCAGGTAGGCTGGCAGACAGACAGACAGACAGACAGACAGACAGACAGACAGACAGACAGACAGACAGACAGACAGACAGGCAGGCATGCAGGCAGACAGGCAGACAAGAACATAATCCCGCCTACATACAGGCCCCTTCACTCCCACACAAGACACACATCACCCACAACAGCTATTGTCAAACAAAATAGATGTCACTAACGTATGAAAAACATAAAAACACGAACACCTTAACAAGAAAATGGCGATGCAAATCTATACTATAAGAGAGATTGTCTATCTACCTATCCTCCTAAGCCTGAGGACAGACGCTTAGGCCTATCCTTACCCAGATATATGGAGGTAATGCTCTTGGGATACGGGACGGAAACAGGCTGGTCAGGGTAGGCCTAAATGATTTAATAGATATTAGTAAATATTCACACAAACATCTCTTTCTCACAATATTGGTTGAGATTCCCGAAGAGTTTTTCGTCTCCAGAATTTTTTTTTTGCACTCTATGGGCAGCACAAAACGTCCACTAGACTGTGCGACGCAGTGGTTGCAAGGATCAGGTTGGGTTACCGTTACCTGTGGCAGGTGGCTACCGTTACCTGTGGCAGGTGGCTACCGTTACCTGTGGCAGGTGGCTACCGTTACCTGTGGCAGGTGGCTACCGTTACCTGTGGCAGGTGGCTACCGTTACCTGTGGCAGGTGGCTACCGTTACCTGTGGCAGGTGGTTACCGTTACCTGTGGCAGGTGGCTACCGTTACCTGTGGCAGGTGGCTACCGTTACCTGTGGCAGGTGGCTACCGTTACCTGTGGCAGGTGGTTACCGTTACCTGTGGCAGGTGGCTACCGTTACCTGTGGCAGGTGGTTACCGTTACCTGTGGCAGGTGGCTACCGTTACCTGTGGCAGGTGGCTACCGTTACCTGTGGCAGGTGGCTACCGTTACCTGTGGCAGGTGGCTACCGTTACCTGTGGCAGGTGGCTACCGTTACCTGTGGCAGGTGGTTACCGTTACCTGTGGCAGGTGGCTACCGTTACCTGTGGCAGGTGGCTACCGTTACCTGTGGCAGGTGGCTACCGTTACCTGTGGCAGGTGGTTACCGTTACCTGTGGCAGGTGGCTACCGTTACCTGTGGCAGGTGGTTACCGTTACCTGTGGCAGGTGGCTACCGTTACCTGTGGCAGGTGGCTACCGTTACCTGTGGCAGGTGGCTACCGTTACCTGTGGCAGGTGGTTACCGTTACCTGTGGCAGGTGGCTACCGTTACCTGTGGCAGGTGGCTACCGTTACCTGTGGCAGGTGGCTACCGTTACCTGTGGCAGGTGGCTACCGTTACCTGTGGCAGGTTGGGTTACCGTTACCTGTGGCAGGTGGCTACCGTTACCTGTGGCAGGTGGCTACCGTTACCTGTGGCAGGTGGCTACCGTTACCTGTGGCAGGTTGGGTTACCGTTACCTGTGGCAGGTGGCTACCGTTACCTGTGGCAGGTGGCTACCGTTACCTGTGGCAGGTGGCTACCGTTACCTGTGGCAGGTGGCTACCGTTACCTGTGGCAGGTGGCTACCGTTACCTGTGGCAGGTTGGGTTACCGTTACCTGTGGCAGGTGGCTACCGTTACCTGTGGCAGGTGGCTACCGTTACCTGTGGCAGGTGGCTACCGTTACCTGTGGCAGGTGGCTACCGTTACCTGTGGCAGGTGGCTACCGTTACCTGTGGCAGGTTGGGTTACCGTTACCTGTGGCAGGTGGCTACCGTTACCTGTGGCAGGTGGCTACCGTTACCTGTGGCAGGTTGGGTTACCGTTACCTGTGGCAGGTGGCTACCGTTACCTGTGGCAGGTGGCTACCGTTACCTGTGGCAGGTGGCTACCGTTACCTGTGGCAGGTGGCTACCGTTACCTGTGGCAGGTGGCTACCGTTATCTGTGGCAGGTGGCTACCGTTACCTGTGGCAGGTGGCTACCGTTACCTGTGGCAGGTGGCTACCGTTACCTGTGGCAGGTGGCTACCGTTACCTATGGCAGGTGGCTACCGTTACCTGTGGCAGGTGGCTACCGTTACCTATGGCAGGTGGCTACCGTTACCTGTGGCAGGTGGCTACCGTTACCTATGGCAGGTGGCTACCGTTACCTGTGGCAGGTGGCTACCGTTACCTGTGGCAGGTTGGGTTACCGTTACCTGTGGCAGGTGGCTACCGTTACCTGTGGCAGGTGGCTACCGTTACCTGTGGCAGGTGGCTACCGTTACCGGTGGCAGGTGGCTACCGTTACCTATGGCAGGTGGCTACCGTTACCTGTGGCAGGTGGCTACCGTTACCTATGGCAGGTGGCTACCGTTACCTGTGGCAGGTGGCTACCGTTACCTGTGGCAGGGTGGCTACCGTTACCTGTGGCAGGTGGCTGCAGGTGACGGGTCTCCCAATCCTGAGCACTCCAGGTGCCAACTCTGT